GGACCCTCAATGACCTAATCTTGTGATACGTCACTCAAAACCTCACTGACTGTCAGGTTAAAAGAGATTATGATCTGATCTGCAATAGAAGCTGCCACTGGGAAACTTGCATGGTCTGAACACAGATACCCATTAGTGCAGGGACACACATACACACACACCCTTTTATCAAGCATAACGTGCTGTTACAGAAGCAGAGCCTGAACCAGACATACCCCATAAGCCCACAAGGTGAAAAAGAGAAAAAAAAGCCAGCCCCGTGCTGGCTGTCATGCGATTGCCGTTTATGGCAACGAGTCACAAACACAATCTGGAAGTACAAGGAGAAGAAGAAGCAGCAGAACAAACAACAACTCACGCTACAGCGTTGTTCCCGAGCAGACGCTCTGCCACAGTTCTGCTCTGGTGGCCTTGAAGACTTCCTCTGGGTCTGTTTAACCGCTCAGTTAAACTGCTGACACCCAGTCTTATTAAAAAAATCCCAAAAATAAAACGTTGCACTAGAGCTATTTTTAACACAGCGATTATTTCGGTGTATATGTAAATGTGGACACGTGTGTCTGTGTGTGAAGCCACGGTGTGCAGAGCCACAGACGATAAATAGTGGTGTCACAGCTAAACAGGAGGCTGGCATGGCTCAAGGTGACCGTCTGCTCGGGCCTTCCTTGGCTGCGGCCGCATCATAATGTCGCCCCTGGCAACAGGATGTCAAGCTGGCCCTGTGCCAACCCAAGGATCTGTGCCAGGCCCACTAGCAACTAGGAGCTTAAAAGCTGGTGTGTGGGCTCGCTCTCTCTCTCCACCCACCCACCCCCCCAACAACTCTGCTGGTCCAGTCCTCATTTTCCTGCTTTTCCCGCTGCCGCTCTCATTCCCATTTCATCCATCTGAAACTCTCAGTATGGGGCTCATGTCTTCCAGATGTGCTGCCTCTCTGTTGCCTATGCACTTTACCCTCTCAGTCTTTTTTTCCCCTGCTAAGCATCTTCTTTTACCAAAATTACACAATGCAGAGAAAACTCATGCAGGTGTGCACACCCACCTCAATGAGATTTAGCAAACTTGTCCACTTGATGGGCCGGCAGACGGCAGCGCCCAGAGGCGTAGGCATGGACGTACGCCTCTTCCGCCCACGACAGAGAAAACAGGTGAGAAATTGTAATAGCAAAAACAGCGCATCGCTTTTCTCGTTAATGAGAGACAACAAACAGGCAAATTCCACAGCATATGGATGAGTTCAGGCTGGGAGGTGTTCAAAGCGGCCTTGCCGTTCTCTGCCATATGGTGTCACTAATTGCGATGTTTTTGTTTTTTTTTCCCCTTTTGTATGCGACAGAGAGGTGCACCAAAAGAGCTGGTTAAAGGGAGAAAAACACAAGCCCAAAACTGGGGCAAAAGTTTTGATTGTTTTGATGTTGCATTGAGCCGTTTCTTTCTTCTCAAGCGGCCGCCAAATTGAGCCTTGAGGGAGAACGGTTTAAAACATGGCGATCTGAGATTGTTATATTCCCTCGAGATGATGAGGAAATATGTTAAACTAATCACGGTTTACAAGACATGCAAGTGACATTAGATTAGATATATTTATACAACTAACCAAGTTTTCTTCCCTCAAACACATGTGAACATAACAATTATCCCAGCAGAGTCACATTGTCATAAACAAAGGCTCCATACATTTCATCTACAGCTGTCTTTTAGGGTACAAGCTCAGAACTATATGATACTGGAAAGAACACGTTTTTATTTTGTGTTTCACTTTCATCTGCAGATTAATGAAAAAAAATAAGTGCTCCTCTTTGATTCCTACAAAACATCTTGATTATATTATCACAGGTTTAGCTCTCGCCTCCCAGGAGATGAACGGCAACCAGAACACATCAAACAAATGAAATTAGATTCTGCTTGCCCGCTGTCAACAAGCTAATTTGATGCTGTACTCAGAGGCGAGAACATATGAGATACATGAGAGTTACATGTTATGAAAAAAAAAAGAATAAAAAAAACTACAGAGTACAATCAAAAAGTTCCACGACTCAACCCATTATAAAGGAAAGACAATACTCCTGATTTAAATTTGGACTAAACCTAAATATCTGGAGAAAGTACATGTACAGAAGCAACTGTAAAGGGGACCGGCC